ATAAGCACCATTGAACGCATTTAAACGCACACATTACACGATAACCACCATTGAACGCAATTAAACGCACGCAACACACAATAACCATTAGTGGACGCAAATAAACACGCAATACACAATATTCATCATTGAACGCAATTAAACGCACGCAATACACAATAACCATTAGTGAACGTGAAATAAATATCAAGGCGCCTTTAGCATTAAATAAAAGATTAATCGTTTTGAGTGTGTGTGTGTGTGTGTGTGTGTGTGTGTGTGTGTGTGTGTGTGTGTGTGTACCTGGCCACTCATTAATTACCACACAGCGGGACTAACTTCACCCAGGTGTAAAAGTAGAACAAATTTGTCTCCTGTACAGGTCTGCAGCACGTCACACAGTTTGCAATAACTGATTATGCAATATCACTGCAATGTCTTAATTTAATTCGCAATAACATTAAAACTGAAATATGTAGAGAACTTGCAATACCCCGAGAAGATGTTTTAAGTTTCTTTGCAATCACCAACGAAGATGATTTGCCTGAGATTGCAATAACCATTTAAAATATTTTGATTTTGTGATGGCCACAGAAGAAGTCTACTAATTTTCAATAAACTTTTGATTTGTCCCGATTATATGACCAATAGATACAGTCCCGCCCCCTGTAATGTTGCCGGGAGTCACTCAACATGTTTCCTGGTGACTGAGTTTATGATGACCACGGCAGGTTAGGTTAGGGTAGGGTAGGGTAGGGTAGGGTAGGGTAGGGTAGGGAAGGGTAGGGAAGGGTAGGGTAGGGAAGGGTGGGGAAGGGTAGGGTAGGGCAGGGCAGGGTGAGAGAACACTGATCACCGCTTAAGGATATTTGGCCAAGTGACTTTAATAATAATAATAATAATAATAATAATAATAATAATAATAATAATAATAATAAAAATGTGATAATAATAATAATAATAAAAGTAATAATAATAATAATAATAATAATAATAATAATAATAATAATAATAATAATGAAAGTAATAATAATAATAATAATAATAGAAATAATAATAATAATAATAATAATAATAATAATAATAATAATAATATTAATAATAATAATAATATCATTGGGGTCCAGATTATAATGCATAACAGTACCTGTCTGTCTGTCTGTCTATCTATTTATCTCTTTTAAGATGCAGTTACAGCATGATGGGGTACCAATACAAAGCATTTGGTACCACTATAGTATTCAGTAGTGTGACAATCTGGGATTATTGGTACTACTACTTGGTACTAAAATCAGCAGGTATTCCAAAAAGTTCACTGACTCTTATCATTATTATTATTATTTACATTGACAATGTCTAAAACATTCATGAAAACAGAAAACAGAAAATACTGATTATAAAATATCGTTCTTACTACTAACTGTTAAGATGATAATACAAAGAGAGGAGGCAGCAGCTACTCACCACATGTAAACACGACGCCCTGCATGACGCTACGCTGATACTGTTGCTGAAACTCGATGATCCCTCCGTTCGCCGTCCTCCCGTTAACAGAACCACCAACAGGGACACCAGGGAGGGCATCAGTACCCGTGACACCCGTTGGGGCATCCAGGACCACATTGCACTGCTTGTTGCACGAGCGTGTGCGTGTGTGTAAATATCTCTGTCAACACTCGTTAAGGTGCGCGTGTGGTCACCGAGATGTTTTAATACATTTAATTATATCACAATTATCGTACTATTATTGGTCATTATCTTATAACCTCGTCGATTCACTACACAACTTTGCAATTGATATCTACGCTAAGTCGATCATCCTTATGTTGCAAACTTCAACTGTTGCAAAACACAACAACAATTACTACAACGGCAGCACTATCTCCCGTGCAGGTGTCACAGCGTTTATATCTGTATGAGCGGCACGGCGAGGAAGGTGTTTGCTCGGCTAATCCTGGTGTGTGCACATGTCCTAGGCGTTCACAACACTGGTGCACATGGCCGCCACGACCACCCCACCTCCAGGCTTGAGGTTCCCCACTGACTCGTGCACATGCTGCCGGCAGCGGAGTTACATCTCGCGGGAAAACATGTCGTACGGGCGAAGCTATCATGAACTACTTGAGCCGTACACAGTGTTTATATGTCTTATCCTAACATAAACATTATTCCTGTATTACATACACAGCTCTTACTGTCTAAAATCCAACGAAAGTATGAGAAAAACCTATTACACAGGTGCATAGGTAGTCAGTACCTTAATTACCAGGTAAATTATACACGTAGCTACTAATTAAATTGCTATTGCTCCCAACACAACTCCGTCTACAAAACATAAACATACGTGATATTTTATGTAAAGAGACACATAACTTTGGAGTTAATAACACCATTAAGAGGAGTAATTAATGTAAAGAGTAATTGATCGTACTGCAATGAGTGTGTGGGGGGGGGGGGGCGTGGTCTTGCTAAACTCCGCCCACTGTGTCGGTGCCCGACACAGACATACAGACGCACGCACACAAACACACACACTCACACACGTTCAGAAAATTAAAGAAACACTGACTTACTTCAAATAATGTTTTTGGCCAATATAACAAATGTTGATGCAAGTGAGTGTGTGGTGAGAGACGGTGTGGAGAAACAGTGTGTGGTGAGAGACGGTGTGGAGGAACAGTGTGTGGTGAGAGACGGTGTGGAGGAACAGTGTGTGGTGAGAGACGGTGTGGAGGAACAGTGTGTGGTGAGAGACGGTGAGGAACAGTGTGTGGTGAGACGGTGTGGAGGAACAGTGTGTGGTGAGAGACAGTGTGTGGTGAACAGTGTGTGGTGAGACGTGTGTGAGAGGCAGTGTGTGGTGAGAGACGGTGTGGAGGAACAGTGTGTGGTGAGAGGTGTGAGGAACAGTGTGTGGTGAGAGACGGTGTGGAGGAACAGTGTGTGGTGAGAGACGGTGTGGAGCAGTGTGTGGTGAGAGACAGTGTGTGAGAGAACAGTGTGTGGTGAGACGGTGTGGAGGAACAGTGTGTGTGAGACAGTGTGGAGAACAGTGTGTGACGGTGTGGAGGAACAGTGTGTGGTGAGAGTGTGTGGGAGGAACAGTGTGTGGTGAGGGACAGTGTGTGGAGGAACAGTGTGTGGTGAGAGACGGTGTGTGAGGAACAGTGTGTGGTGAGAGACAGTGTGGAGGAACAGTGTGTGGTGAGAGACGGTGTGGAGGAACAGTGTGTGGTGAGACGGTGTGGAGGAACAGTGTGTGAGTGGTGGAGACAGTGTGGAGGAACAGTGTGTGGTGAGAGGTGGAGGAACAGGTGTGTGGTGAGAGACGGTGTGAGAACAGTGTGTGGTGAGAGACGGTGTGGAGGAACAGTGTGTGAGAGACGTGAGAGAACAGTGTGTGGTGAGAGACAGTGTGGAGGAACAGTGTGTGGTGAGAGACGGTGGGGAGGAACAGTGTGTGTGGTGAGAGACGGTGTGGAGGAACACAGGAGTGTGTGAGAGACGGTGTGGAGGACAGTGTGTGGTGAGAGACGGTGTGGAGGAACAGTGTGTGGTGAGAGACGGTGGGAGGAACAGTGTGTGGTGAGAGACAGGTGGTGAGAACGGTGTGGAGGAACAGTGTGTGGTGAGGGAACAGTGTGTGGTGAGAGACGGTGTGGAGGAACAGTGTGGGTGAGGAGACAGTGTGGAGGAACAGTGTGTGGTGAGAGACGGTGTGGAGGAACAGTGTGTGGTGAGAGACAGTGTGGAGGCAGTGTGGGTGAGAGACGGTGAGAGACAGGAACAGTGTGTGTGTGGTGAGACGGTGTGGAGGAACAGTGTGTGTTATCGTTAGTGTTTTACTCTTCATGTTGTGTTCTCTCTCTCTCTCTCTCTCTCTCTCTCGCGACCGTCAGGAAAGGGGGTCATGGGAGGGAGGAAGATCACCCATCTCCCTTAAGGGCTAGGGAAGGGGAAGACGGGAAGAGAGAAGAGGGGAAGGGTAGAGGAGGAAATGGGGGGGAGGAAGGAGGGTAGGAGGAATAAACGAAGTGGAAGAAGGAAGATAGGTGAGGAAGGAAGGAAGGAAGGAAGGAAGGAAGAATAGAGGGAAGTTATTAACCTTCTTTCCCTCCTACCACATCTCCTACCCTCCCTCCTGGTGTCTCCACCCCCTCCCTCAAGGCAGATGACGGGCCACACCCCACGAAATCAATTTATCGCGACGTACGAGTCAGAGGACGACCAGCGGTGTTTGTGGTGGGGGAGGGCGGAGAGGTACGGGAGGGGTGGAGAGGCAGGAGGGGCGGAGGTAAGGAGGGGCACGGGAGGTGGGAGGGGCGGAGAGGTACGGGAGGGGCGGAGAGGTACGGGAGGGGCGGAGAGGTACGGGAGGGGCGAAAGGAGGGTGGAAAGGGAGGAAAATAATGCAACATAACGGCCTCCACTGGAGAACTAATAAATTCAGTTTGTCCAGCCACTACAACCAAGTTGACGCAGATATTATACTCATAAACTCACACGGCCAAAAGGCGGCTGAGGAACTGAAAATATTTGGTTACAGGATCCATAAATCCAATTTACCAGAGGAGCCAAATGACGGGGTGGCCATCGCCACAAAAAGAGATGTCCACCACAGAATCATAGACGACTTCACCTCTGAAACTCTCGCTGTTCAAATCAACTTGACCACAGGACCAATCATAATAGCCACAACCTACCTCCCACCACACAGGGACTACCTGCCTTACGGAGACTTCCACAGACTCCTATCACACCACCACCCAACCTACATCATTGGAGACATGAACGCCAGACATCCTCTACTAGATGGTAAGAGGACAACTAACAATGTTGGAAGAGGCCTCGCTGGCTTCATAACAAACAAAAAAGCCCAACTAATAGACCCAGACTTCCCCACGTTCTACAGTAGGAACTCAGCCACTACTCCAGATATTGCAATAACAAACGGCAGATGCTTCCACAACTATCTCTTTGAACAAGGCCCTGTAACCTCCAGCGACCACCTACCTATAATCATGACCACCTCGGAAACACCAATATCTATACCAGCTCCACCACGGAGGATCGCCAAGCAGACCGACTGGGAACTATTCAACGGAAAAGCTACAGCCGAACATGTGGCCAAGGGCATGACAATCCTGCAGACCATAGACAACCAGCCGATGAACATAATAGACGAAGAAATCAACACATGGTGTGAAGCCATAGGAACAGCCTACCAGGAGGCCACGCCTCTCAAACACAACAGAACTCTCCCACACCCACAACAGACTCCAGAACTCATAGCCCTCACAAACCAGTTCCAACTGCTACAACAGAGAGCCGAGACCCATGGTTGGGGCATCGTAAGCTACAATACATACAGAAGAATTCGGGAGGAAATAAAAACAAGATCTCTGGAACAAAGCAACCTTAAATGGGCCGAAATAGTTGAACAACTCTCACATACATACAACGATCCAGGAGAGTTCTGGCGTCGAGTTAAGAGACTGAAAGGTTGCAGCCGTAACGAGTCATCATATATAACTGACCACGCAGGAAGTAAAATATATGACGACCAAGACAAAGAACCCATATTCAGGGACATATGGAGGAACATCTTCCGAATCACAAATGAAGAGAACAGGGGATTTGATAGTACCCACGAGGTGCTCCTCCTTGATGAACACCGTACTCAGCCTTCGCCTAAAATCATATGGGAGGATCTGAGAGTGGACTTCCTTCCTCCACCTCTAATCTTCATTCACCCATCCTTTCTCTACACACACAAAAAAAGGATAGGTGGAAGGAGGGAGGGAGTAGTGACGGAGTGAGATGTTTGTTAAAAGAAGTGTACATGGATTCACACACACACACTCCACCATTGGGATCAGTGTCAACAATTCTGCTCCCGACTATACCGCCCTTCAGGATTTATTGAACAGTCTCCAAAATTGGGCCACCAACAACCATGTCACCATCAACCATACCAAGACCATGGTTATGCACATCAACCTCTCCTCCGACGTTGTCCCACCTCCTTCCATTACTCTAGGTCCGAACACACTCCAGGTTGTAGATTCCACTAAGCTCATCGGCGTCACCATAGACAACAAACTAAATTGGAAACCACACGTCATTGAAGTTGTCAAATCCTCCAGTTTCCGTCTCCACCTCCTCCGCCGACTCAAGTCCCTCGGAGTTCCTGCACCCGAGCTCCTCAGTGTTTACTCAACATTCATACTTCCCAAGCTCACCTATGCCTCCCCCACCTGGTCTTCCTCCCTAAATGCCACGCAACGTAAACACCTAGAAAAAGTGCAAAAGAGGGCATGCAAGATTATTCTCTCCCCTTCCTACTCCACATATCAAGAAGTGCCCAATTCACTGACCCTCTCGGCTCTCTCTGACCTCCACTACGACCTCATCTGCAAATTTGGTGAGAAGCTTCTGCACCATCCTTGACATCCTTGACACCGGCTCCTACTACCACCTGAGATCCCTCGTCCGAGAATTGCTGTTCGACACCACAACCGCATCCAGCCATACGTGCACGAACTGATCATACTGATCGCTATAAGAACAGCCCAGTCCCAACCATTGTAAAAATTAAAAATAACTTGTAATCAACCAGTGTATTTAATCCCAGTCAATCTTACTCTTTGCACTGTCACTATGTTGAAATGCCCTGTAGTTTGAGCTTCTCCCCACCTGGTTTTTATGTACCATATTTGTATCACTTATATTACTTGCATATTATTTATAAATCAAGAGACCCATTCCCAAATTATGTAACTATGTATTTTCAGCCTTCCTGCTGTCATTAAGTGTTGTTATTATTATTATTATTATTATTATTATTATTATTATTATTATTATTATTATTATTACACACACACACACTACCCTCACCCCTCCTCCCTCCCCACCTACTGTGCATCCGCCCCTCACCCCCAGCCCGTCATCTAACACCCCCACCCGCTGTGTACCTTCCCCCACACACCCATCACACATATAAGAGCACACATATACATACACACAAGTACACACACACACACACACACGCAAGGTCCCTGAACAATGTATGCACAGCCTGAGAAAACCATAACTGCCATACAACAGCTAAATATCCCCTGTAGCTCACCTGCCATGCAACAGCTAACTATCGCTGTACCTCACCTGCCATACAACAGCTAACTATCCCCTGTACCTCACCTGCCATACAACAGCTAACTATCCCCTGTACCTCACCTGCCATACAACAGCTAACTATCTCCTGTACCTCACCTCCCATACAACAGCTAACTATCCCTGAACCTCACCTGCCATACAACAGCTACCTATCCCTTGGACCTCCACAGTCATACAACAGCTAACTATCCACAGTACCTCACCTGCCATATAATAGTTAACTATCCCCTGTACTTCACCTGATATACAACAGGTAACTACTACTACTTTGCCTGCATTAGGAACTAAGTACGATGATCATCCAGCTGAGACAATGATATGAGTTATTAAGGATGTCACCTTCGTTGGTGAGCTCTGAGGTGACTAAAGAGGCCAATACGGGACCGGCAGAGTTGTTCATTGATGTTGCACCATGTGGATGGCTGCATCTTGTGTGGGAGCGCCTTTCCGGCGTTGGCACTTGTCTGCCTCGGTTTGCAGTCGGGCTAATTCGAAAGCATTGACACCTTCTTGTGTGGTGCTCTTCCAAGCGTTATGGTGTGGAGTAATCGTCTCCCAAGTGAGGGGGTGGATTTGGCATTTTTTCAGGTTTGTCTTAAGACTAGCCTTATATCTTTTCAGTTGCCCTCAAGCGTTACGTTTACTATTCGTTAGGTGACTGTAAAGTAGCTGCTTTGGCAGTCTACTGTCGTCCATGCGGGTAACATGGCGAGTCCAACGTAGTTGTTCATGGATAATGGTAGCCTCGATGCTCCTACAGTTGGTGTTAGCGAGAATACTGGCATTTGTTCTCTTATCTTCCCAGCGAACTCGGAGGATGGAACGTAGACTACGTTGGTGAAAGTTTTCAAGTGCCTTGAGGTGCCTCCTGTATGTGACCCATGTCTCACTGCCATATAGCAGGGTGGGGAGGACCACTGCTCGATATACGTGTAACTTTGTAGATAATTTCAGGTCCCTATAGCTGAAGACACGGGTACGGAGTCTCTCAAAGGCTTGAGATGCACATCTAATCTGATGTTGAATCTCTTCATTGATGTCCTCGGTGGTGGACAGGTGGGAGCCGAGGTACCGAAAGTGGGTAACATTAGAGAGGGCAGTACCACTGAGCTGGATGGATGGTGGAGATGCTGCTGAACCAGGGGCAGGCTGAAAGAGAATGTGAGTCTTACGTACATTTACCTCAAGGCCGAAGTGTGCATACTCATCTGCATAGGTGTTCAGTAATGTCAGCTGTCGACACCATTGTTCCAGCTTGAAGTACTCGATGTCCACCCTGCCGGCTAAATTGGCACTGACACGAGTAAGGAAGGCAGCCAAGAAAGCGGAAAAGAGAGTTGGTGCCAGTACACATCCTTGCTTTAACCCCATTTGGATGGGGATGAACTCAGACTGGATCCTAATGTGCAGGACACTGCCGTTTATGCCATCGTCGATTTGCCTTACGATGGCAATGAATTTTGGTGGACAGCCAAAACGAGGGCCAGGGGCTTCCTTGTTGACCTAGTAAAAGGCCTTGATTAGGTCAATGAAGCCCATGTACAGGTAGCGATGCTGTTTAGGAGGACTTGGGAGATAATCTTGCCAGCTACGGACAACAGCGAGATCCCGCTGTAGTTGCCACAGTCGACTTGTCTTCCTTGTTCTTAAAAATATTGACGATGGGCGCGTCTTTAAGAGGTTGTGGGATTTCCTCCTTTTCCCATACAGTATTATTCTCCAGGAGAGAGTGGAGACGACGAGTAAGCAGAGGTCCTCCTGCTTTATACACCTCGGCTGAGATTCCATCAGACCCTAAGGATTTGTTATTTTACATCTGTTTCATGGCAATAGCTACATCATCCAGGGATGGAGGGTAGCTGAGATGGGTCAGCTGTGAATACTGGGAGACCTGCTGGGTAGTCAGGACATCCACATCGGTGCTTCGGTTGAGCAGCGAATAGTAGTTCTCTTTCCAGCGCTGACGGAAACCTTCCTCATCTTTAATTAAGGAGTTACCGTCGGATGAGCAGAGAGGGGCTGTGCCATGAGTGATTGGCCCATAAAATGTTTTAATGCAATTGAAAAATAAGCGCATCTTGTGTTGACCTGCAACTTTTTCCGTTTCACATGCTTTATTTATAAACCAGTTTTTCTTTAAATTGCGAAGTTCGCGCTAGGCCGACACTTTCTTCTTGCGGAATGTATCAGCTTTGATCTGAGACTGAGGGTTGTTCTGCTAGTCAGTTAAAGCAGCACGTTTATCATCAACGAGTACATTGATTTCCGGGCATTTTTCAACAAACCAGTCCTGGTGTATTCTTTCGATCTGGCCGAGGGTCTCTCTGCAGGTTTTTCTCGTGGCAGTGTCGAGAATACCCCATTCGGCACTGAAATTTGGGTTTTTTGTTGTCGGGTTGCTTATCAGCTCATGTTCGAGCTGCTCTCCGAAAGCATGTGCTACTGCTGGATCCTCCAGACGCCTAGTGTTAAAACCTCTTCTGGCGGCTACTTACCTTCGCCGTTTTGGGGCGACGTGAAATGAGAGCTTAGGTCTGATGAGCCGATGATCAGTGTCGCAGTGGTCTGAGCCACGTATTGCTCGGGTTATGAGGAAATCTCGGCGATCTCTTTCTCTGAAAATGATGTAGTCAATGTAGTTGATGCCGTCTCCAAACTCGCGTATAACAAAGGCACTGTTGAATACAATTTGGGTCTGCCAAAAAGAACCCTTAAAACTGTAATTAGGGAGGAACTAATTGATGAATTTGACGCAAGTAGACAAGTGCAAACAGGCACAAGTCGATCCATAGTTTACCATGATGAGATGTATCACGTGAAACATGCATATGGAGCAAGTAACAAGATCACTAGATTACAAGATGTTGTAACCGCTAGATTAAGGTTAGGATATAAGTACCTTTGGCAGTATGTTCCTCAAGCAGATGTAAACAAAACTAAATGTAAAGTGTGTGGCCAGACATATGGCCACACACTTGAACACTACGTCCTCGACTGTGTGAAGATAGAACCTTTTAGGGACAG